GAGAGAGAGAGAGAGAGAGAGGGCGAAGAGTAAAGAAGGAACGAAGGGCCTCTCCGCAGATTAGAGCGCGAATCAATATTGGGCAGCGAGGCGAGGCTTTTATCGGCGCTGAAAGAAATCCCCCTTGCTTCCTTCTTCATCTTTCTCGAGTGGGCACCGGAGGAGCCCGGAGTGAAAAGTGCGCGCGGACGAGAGAAAGAGGCCCCGACATTGGTGAAAGAAGAAGAAGGTAAAACGAGCGAGAGCGAGAGGGAAGGTGGAGGATTCCGTTCGAGCAACTTACCGGACTTCTACGTTCTCTCTCTCCACGCTCGAGGATTTACAGATTACGCGCTGGTAGACCGAGCTCGAGCGCGAGAAAAGGGAAAGAGAGGGCGGACGTCGAGCGAGAGAACTCAAGAGAGACAGGGTGAGAGAGAGAGAGAGGACTAGTAATACGGAGGAGCCGGTGTCGGCCTTTACGAGGAGAAAGAGGACAAGCTCCGAACGAGAGAGAGAGAGAGAAAGATGGAAGAACCAAGTCCGCGCGGAGTCTCCTGAGAGGGAAAGAAAGAGAAGGAGAGAAGGTTATATGCCTGGACCAATCGGACGACTCCAAGGGAATCTCTGGACCAATCGCGAGTTTTCTCTCTCTCTCTCTCTCTCTCTCTCTCTCCTTCTTCCTCTCTTTCTCTCTCTCTCTCTCTCTCTCTCTCTCTCTCTCTCTCTCTCTCTCTTCTCGGTGACGTTACGCGTTTATTATCGCGCGGGGAAAAGAAACGACTGTTTATAAATAATTAGAGAGGTTTTAATTAACCCTCGAGACGCGCTTGGACCGCCGCTATCCACTGGCGTTTTAATCACTCGCCCGGGTTTTGCTCGTCGACGATGAGAACAAGGAGAGGAGGATGGCGAGAATAAGAAGGTTGCGAGAAGAGGGAGCTGTCGCTGCCGCTGTCGTTGTCGTTGCCGTGGACGTTGTTGTTACTCGAGGCTTCGAGGGAGAAAGAGGTACAACGTCGTTCGAACGATTCTCCGCGCGCTACTACGCTCGGACTCGCATTTGTAAAACTAAACCATCGATCGGTTGCCGATCGACCGAGTCACCATTTATACCAAGACCAACCAACACCGTCGTCATATCCACGACGTTGACGTAACTTCGTTTACCGGGCGATTTTTCGCGAGATGCGCCACGTCAGAAATTCTCTTGCGCTCGGTGCCATTTTTATTATCTAATATCCCTTCGTTAACCGGACGGGAGAGTATGCGCTTACTTGTTCGCTTTTTCTTCCTCGTCCACTCCTCATCCTTCTTCATCTTCTTCTCCTCCTCCTCCTCTTGATTCTCGTCTACCCTCTAATAGACGTAATTACGCCACGATCGATTCCAGCACGTGATTAAAGATTCTTTTGGTATCCTTTCGCAGATTTCGCGCTCGCTTAATCGAGACCAATATCTCTCACCCTATGCTTTTTATTATTTATTAAAGAGCGAAAGAGATACCTATATTTTATCGACCGCATGTGCCGATATAATTTACCGTATTTATTCGCCTCTTTTTTCGACGATCTCGATAAAAAAAAAAGAAAGAAAAAAAAAGAAAAAAGAAAAAAAAAAAGAAAAAAAAGAAAAAAAAAGCAGGAAAGAAAAAGAAGAAAAGAGAAAAAAAACCCGTTTGTTTAAAAAACAGGTCACCGCGCGAATATTGTTCGCCGCTGGTGTTATTTTTACCTCTACTTTCTTTCTCACTCCCATAAAGGGACTAAAAAAACAATCGTATCAATTTTATTCTTCGAATCGTGAATGCCTCGTAGCGTGCATCGAGTGTGAATTAAAAAATAAAAATTGCAAAAAGAGGAAGAAGAAAAAAAAAGAAGGAATGAAAGACGAAAGAAGAAAAAGAAAAGAAAGAAAGAAAGAAAGAACGGCCCGGTGTCGAATGGCGACGATGTATATAAAAAAAATATTTTTTACCGAGAAAAAAACCGGTCCTCGGAGCGTTTCTTCGTCTTTTCTTTTTCCTACGAGTCATTTTTTCGTCGTCGTACCAACGTCGCCGTCGTTCCCGCAGAATTTCAAACGTGTCGGTAGACAGCGCGAAAGCGTTCACCACTATGCCGCGCTCCTTCCGTTCGCACGAATCTTTCGAGATGATGCCTCCTACGGTTAGAAGCGACAAAAGGGAAATCAAAAGTGGCGTGAAGCGGTTTTTACGATCAAACGCGCATCCTTCTCCATCTCCTGTCCCTTTCTCTCTTTCTTTCTTTCTTTTTTTCTTTCTTTCTTTCTTTCTTTCTTTCTTTCGTTCTCATTGTCAATGTGGCTTCGAAACACGAGACGACCGCTATTCTTCGCTCGCCCGTGAAAGAATCGAGTTTACCCTTTGGTGCCTCGCCCAAAGAAACGATCGACGCGGGATCGTAGAAAGGAAGGTACGAGAAGTCGAACGAGCATGTTAAGCGGCTAGAAGGTGGGGAGGAAGAAAAGAGAGACACAACAAAAAAGGAAGAAAAGAAAAAAAAGGGATAAGAAAAATGTTTTACGACGCGAAACGCGTTTCGGGATAACGCGAATCCTTTGGCACAAACGGTATATGGCCTCGAAATCTCCGGCACGGTTCGTGCCTGGAAAATGCTCTTCTCTTCGAGTAAAGAGTATTCGAGGAGGGAGGGAAGAAGAAGAGAGAAGGAGAAAGAGGTCGGAGGGTTGAAAGGCGAGCGAATAAACTCGCATATATTCGCCGCAGACGGTAGAACTTATTGCAGGAACTTCATAGGGCGAAGGAACAGCGACTTTTGAATATCTCCGTTTCTCGCGAGCCGTCGTCCTCGTCGTTGTCCTCGTCGTCATCCTCTCGTCGTCGAGCAGAGTATCTCGCGAAACTACCGGGTAACGTTCTTGGTTCAATGTGTAATAATACCGAGCGAGCTCTTAAACGAGTTCTCGAGAAGAACTCGCTGGGAAGAGACAGGGGAGAGAGAGGGAGAGAGAGAGAGAGAGAGAGAGAGAGAGAGAGAGAAAGAGAGATAGGTGGATTCTCTGCTTCGGAGGAGAACGACGTCACGTAATCCGTGGACGACTCCATCGGCTCTGCGAAATCGTCAAAGTTTCCGGTATTCTGTGCGCGGAACCGTCGACATTGCGTTCACCTTGCACGCGTACAAAGATTTTCAAAGAGAAAGAGAAAGAGAGAAAGAGAAGGAGGGAGAAAAAGAGAAAGAGAGATGGAGTAGAAGAGATTTTCTACTTGTATTCTCGCTTTGAACTTTGAATCGTGACAAAGTACTTTTAAAACCATTTGCTCGGAATTGAACCCGAGCTCTCTTCTGTATTTGAAACAAAAATATAAGAAAAACTCTTCTAATGTAAGGATTTGAAGTAGAATCTGAAATAAATCATTTAACGTAATCTTTACTTAACATATTTTCACGGTCGATTCTTCGAGATCGTTTCTTCTTTCTCGATAGAAAATTAATACGATACGTAGTCCATCGTCATCGTCGTGCGCGTACCAACAAGTACTACGTTTGGAGCGTACAAAATCGTATGGTTTCCGGTCGAGCGGTTCGGCGAAAGGATTTATTATGCCACGAAGCATGAAGAGAGAGGAATGAGAGTTGGAGAAAGAGAGAGGAGCCAGACCGAGCGTGACCCGTACGCCCGTCGTATTATGGACAACGTGAATCGGCACTAAAAAGAACGTATACCACTCTCTCTCTCTCTCTCTTTTGGTGCACCCTGAATCACTCCCCCCGTCCCTTCTTCACCAAGGAAAGCCCCATTGTTTTCTTTATTGGAACCTCGCTGCGAATTGAGGAGGGATGGGCACGATGTAAAAGGCCCGGCCGATGGACCATGGAAAAGGGGGTAATTATATGGGCACCGCCCTGAGCTCGGGCAATCACGCGACCGTAATCTATCGTCGATTCGCGAGAGAGGACGAGATGGATAGAGGGAATGAAGAAGAGAGAGAGAGAGAGAGAGAGAGAGAGAGAGAGGAAACGAAGGACTAATGCCGGTATCTGTGGGCTCGGACGCGTCTCGATCAAGGCTCCCTTTTCTATTGCCGTTCGTGAGAACGCATTTCATGGTAAAAATTTCGATAATAATTTCGTCGAATGTTATTTGTATCCAAGAAAGATTGATTTTCTTCTTTTTAATTTCTATTCGAGTCACAAGTAAATCGGGGAGAAAAAAAAATCGTCTAACATTCGTATCGTTCTATTTATTTGGATAACTACACCCCTCTATCATTTATTCGTTTATCTAATTGAACGTCACGCTGAATTAGAAATCATCGGCTTAACCAGATGTCAAAAAGAAAAAAGAAAAAAGAAAAAAGAAAAAAGAAAAAAGAAAAAGAATCGCACAAAGTCGATCCGTTCGTATTACTTTTCAGAAGGCATCGATCCATTATGCACAATAGAACCGTATGGATACTCTCGCGTACATTTATGTATACACGACTCGAGGTGAAGAATAAGAGGGGATGGAAAGGGTGACCCGATTAAACAGGGGTTAGAACGACGTTTCGGGGTGGCAGCGACGGCGACAGACTTCTCAATGAGTTCCTAAAGCGAAAGAGGTTTCTCCAGTGTAGTCCCGTCCCTCTCCTTGTTCGAATTCTCTCCCCTGTGGATCCGGATGACACTCCTTCTATCCCTCGTATACATACAGGGTGTTCCATTTAACACGATCGTTTCAAATATATCCGTCCCTTCCAATTAAACGAATGCAGCCGACTGTGCAAATAGAGCGATCTTTAAAAATATAGGTATTTATCATTTTTATTTCATCGATAATATTTCCATATGACTTGTAAAAAAAGATGTACGGCGATCGGCTCCTTTCGCGTATCCCTGAGTCTTCCTGAGTCTTAAGAGATTAAAATAAAAAATAAAAGAAAAAAACAAAAAAAAAAAGAAGAAAAAGGAAAACGTTTGGATTCATTCGACGAGGTTAATTTTAAAAGCAAATAATTTTCGATTAATCTCATTAAATGGTTTCACCCTGTATAGGTGGAAGCACCGAAGGTGTTGGCTACGAGGGGTTGCAAAATAACAGATTTCCCAGACGCACGCACCCTCTCTACTTTAGCATTTCAACTTCGGAGCTATCGCGAAAAGGACCAAGCTCGAAAGAGGAGGAGGAAGACGTAGAGAAAGGCCGGGGAATGGGAGGAGAAGAAAGCTTTTCTTTTCCTCGACTTTTCTCCTACCTTCGCCCTTCGAGTCCCTTCTAACGAGACGTGGCAAAGTTCTCGGAGGGTAGATCTTACCTTTTTTCTTTCGTTTTTTCTCCTTCTTTTTTTTCTCTACTTTTCTCTTTTCTTCTCTTTTCTTCTTGCAGTATGTATATAAGAGAGAACGACGGTAGTTCCTCGTGGGTCAGCCCGTTGCTCCTGAAAGGACCCTTCTACCCCTGACTCTGCTGCTGCTGCTGCTGCTGCTACTGCTGCTGATTAAGGCATAAAAGACAGAGGGTATATATGTATATATATGTATGTATATATATTTCTCTATCTCTTTCTCTTTCTCTCCATCTCGGTGGAGTCGAGACGAGATGGGGAAAAAGAAATTTGTTCGGGGGACGAGGCGACGGCTGAAGAGCCGAAGGGTGAGTTTCGAGGGTGAGAGAGAAAAAGAGACCGGGGTAAATAAAAGAGAGAGAGAGATACCTAATTGTAAGTACATTATACCTTCGGGCCAGTTGGGATTATGCGGCTACTTCTTTATCGCTGACAGTGGTATCTTTTATCTTTAATTCCTCCAGTTCTCGTTCCGATTATAACCGGAATACCTTTCTTTTTCTCCGCCTCTCTCCCTCTATTTTTTTTTCCTTTTTCTTTCTATCTTTCCTCTCGAAGAAAGAATTTCGTTCGTTTCGAATTAGTCGCATGGACCCCGCGAGATATCCTTTCTCGTGTCGGGCACGCTCGACTAAGCGCATAATTCGTCGTTAGTAATAGACGTACGACGAAGCAATTATCGAACGGCCAATTAAGAGCAATTAGCGAACGGTTATCGAAGTAATCGTAGCTGCGGTAAAATATCTTAATCGAAAAAGCAAAGCCAATGAAATTTTTCCACCGATCGCGATAATAGCGAGCGGACAAAAGAAGCGAGAGTTTTTCTCGATGGGGCAGATCTCCCGATGGTCGAGTTCGGTCTCGAACTCGAATCGATATATACCTAACCTCCTCCTTCTGCTCCTCTTTTCTTCCTTCCTTCCTTCCTTCTGTCGGTAGCGTCCCCGCCGACCCTTTGTCGCGGGGAATAAAGGAAAATAGCGTATGCGGCTTTCGTCGTAAAGGAAAGACGGTAAGGGCGGAGAAAACGAGAGCGATGCCGGTCCTCTTTATTTCACGAGGAAACCCAAACCGCAAGCAACAACGAAGCAAAGCCCCGTAATTCGCCTGCAAAATTGCGAGCTCCGTCGACTCGAAAACTCTCTCTTTCTCTCTCTCTCTCTCTCTCTCTCACTCTCGCTAAGATTTCGCATACCACATCTTTTGTCCGTTTTCAATCGGTTTCCGATCCACCAGACCAGACCTTTTCTTCGTTGGCACAGTACCGTAAACGTCCTATGTCGGCGCCCCGTTTTTTGCTTTTCGCAAAACCCGCAATACGATGTTTTTTTTTTCATTTCGAAATAGATACTTAGGTTATTTGGACAGTTTGCTAGGATTTTCGATAGAACAAAACGATGGGATACAAAAAGGAAAAAATATTATTCTCTTTGATTTCTTCGAATGTTCTTTCGATTAAATGTCTCGTCGTTCGTACGCCCACGTAACATCCTTTTTTCTTATTTACTTTTCGAGTAGACCCTCGAACAAATCCTTCGTCATTTCCGGCAGATGTAATGACGAATATTCTAATTCGTTTCGCGTCTAGAGATAACGTGGCCTGCGTTAGCTCTCTTTCAAAAAGAACAGCTGCATATCTATGGTTATTATCCCTTTTTAACTTTATTCCTTTTCCTTATTTTATTTCTCGCGCAAAGATCCGAACTGGTCGCTCTTATCGTATCGGACGGAGCACGCTTAGCGAGACAGAAGTGAATGAGTACGTGTCGATTCGTATGTAGAGCTCTGTATGTTTACATCTAATGTGTAGGTCAGACGGCACGCGAAGGTATAGAAGGAGAAGGAGAAAACAATTTATATACGAACGTAGATAATAATACGCGATAAATACGTGAAAGAATTTGTTGAGTTTACGTCTATATCTTTCCCTTGGTTTTTTTTTCTTTTTTTTCTCTAATTACCAAGTCGGCAGGCAAAACAGAAATACTCGCTCGTATCGATACGAATTTAATTTATAATACGAAAGGCGAGCTTGTTCACTACTGGGATTAGAAACGAACGCGTCGCCAACCGAGTCGGTCAACCACCGAGCGGCTCTTTTGACACCTCGTTTCTCCGCTTACGGACAACTGGAAAATACGCTGAGCTCGTAGGCGTTGCTTTCCTATGACGCGTTAACACGTTCCACATCCAACCCTATTTAGAATCCAACTCGTTGGCTCGTTGTACGTGCTCGAGTAACGGAACGAACGGGAGTTCGTCTTTTCTTTTCCTTTTTCGTCTCTCGTTCTTCTTTCTTCTTCGTTCGAGGCTACGCCTTCCGTTGAAAGCGAATAATCGTGGAAACTATCAAGAAAACAGGATAAACTTAAATAAAGATAAAACTAAATACGAATCATCGATAATAGTTCGTATCAAAGACAATGATACGACTTTGATTAAGTCTACGAACGCGTGACTATCTTAAAAATTATCTGGATTTAAGCTAACGAGATAAGAAATGTTGGAGGGTAAATTCGCAAAGACTATTGGTATAACGGATAAAGATCACTGCTACGTAAGTAAGTACTTACCATCGTTCTACTGCGGAGAACATCGTAGTCGTGCTTGTTTTGTTCTCAAGTCACGTTGTACGGAAGAGCTCCTGAAACAGAGATACATCGAGTACCCTGGTTCATCTAGTACTTTCCTTCGGGGGTAATCGAGGGATATAAGGAACTATGTAGCGAATTTTATTGCCTGACAAACGTCCCCTTCATCGCGATCCTTTCCAATATATAAGACATAACTTTCAACACGTTGTGAAACTACTAATACAACAGAGGAAAGAATTAATCAAATGTATGTAGTGGATGAAATTATTTCTACGTTCGAAGGAACATTGGGAAATCTTGAAATCGTAATGTATTATGGAACATGAAAGATCCAAGAAACGTATTACGCTAATCCTGGCCTGTTTTACGATCACATGCCTCGGTGGATTTGGAAAACACCCAAGAAAACCATTTCCATCTTATCTCTTTTTCTCCTTCCTCACCCTGAACTTTAGAACAAGAGTCTACGTGAATTCAAGAGGGCGAGGAAGCAAAGTCAATTTCTGGGCGAGATGCCACGAGGTTAATGGCTCTATGTCGTCATAAATTGGAGGTCCGGTGTGAAAGCAGCCTAAACCGAGTTCCATCTCGATTTCTTCTTTCTTTTCTTTTCTTTTTTTTTTTTTTCTCCTTCCTTTTCTACTACCTCTCTACGAGCCACCACGTCGCCGTGCTCTCTTTACCTCGGTAACAAACAGGATACAGGTACTCTGGATTCTCTCCTTTTCGATCTCCTTTCTTTCTTTCTTTCTTTCTTTCTTTCTCAAGGTAGAGCCTGGCACAAGCTCGTCGAACGATTTATTATCCCGACCGTCTTACTTCGAGCTCCGGCCCGTTTAGCCGCTGTTTTTCCCCTCGTAAGGGGTAGTGGTGAGAGAGAACGTGTGGAAGGAAGACGATTGGGAAGGGTCGTTGGGTAAAGGAGACAGACAGAGATAGAGAGAAAAGTTGGAACGAAGTAAGGTGGATCGTTGCTGTTCCATCGACCACGAGCAATTGGCAGCGACAGCTATTTGCTCGGATCGTTCGTCCGCAATATTCGTTCGTATACTCGGCCGCAAAAGTGTCCTCGAGCGTGACGCTTTCAACCTTTTCTTGAACATAGAGAGAGAGAGAGAGAGAGAGAGAGAGAGAGAGAGAGAACTAGAAGAGTATGAACCATCGAAAGGAAAGATCGCGTCGCGTAACAGGTCACGTTAATTCCTCGTCGACCGGTGAACTGGGTTTCGAGCAAACAAACGATCATCGTCGACTCTTCAAGGTGGTAGACGATAAAAAAAAAGGAAAAAAAAGGGGAAAAAAGGAACGCGTTTGGGGATTAAGCTTCGGAGCCGTGAATGGAGACGTTTTTGTTTAACGAAAGGCAAAGAGAAAAAGAGGGTAAAGGGACTCGTAAAAGAGAATTGAAGCCGTGCGAGCTGATCGAGCACCTGCTCCGACCGTACGAGAAGCACCTATATGTATAAAAAGAAAGACAAAGAGAGAGAGAGGGAGAGAGAAGGCTCCCTGGCTAGAACTCGTGAAAATAATTCCGCTCCCTCAAGGCTCTCGAGTAGTAGTAGGTATAGTACACGCCGTGACAATGGCCTACGTCGTACGTGGCCCGTGTTGTCGTCCTTTATCCCGTTCCCTCGCGCTTAAACGGGATCGGGCAGGTGTTTCCATTGTAAAGGACCCTATGCCAGGGCCTTCGTACGATGGCACAGCCTCGACTATTACCAACCCACTTCTCTTTCTCGACGAAGAAGGAAACGGCTCCTCCTTCGTAAAAAGCTTTCGAATAGGTTCGATCGATTCTAGCAGCACATAACGTCCTAACGTTCCATCACGGACTGTACTCGATTCTGGAGCACAGCGTACGTACGTACGTACGTACGTACATAAGTGTTCCGGTTAAACGATGAACGATGACGTTTTACTCTGTAACGAGCCACTCGCGAATTATCGCCCCTCGAGTACCAAAACCGCTCCGGTGCACTCTTAACCTTAACTACGGTTCGCAATTGGCTCGTAATCGTGCTGCCACTTGGCAACGAGTCGAGTCCTTTCGAAAATAGGCGCGATTCGCTATCGTTTGATAGTATCTATCTATATACCTGGCCTTGTTGATGGCGCCGAATCCGACAATGCTTAATTATAGAATTCATCGGTTAAAATACAAATTGCTCCAACCAATGGATTCAGTTTCGAGAAATTAGAGTCATATATATATATATATATATATATATATATATATTTAGATTAGAAATATATCTATAGAAGTTACATATAGTTTCCAAGTTGCACGTATATGAGTAAGTATGTAACTTGAATAATTCACATGTAACTTTAACGGAATATAGAAGGTAAGTATACTTCTTACGATTACTCGGTAGAAAAATGAAATTCCACCGAGTAAAGGTGAAAATGCTTCGCGTTGGTTAAATTTTTCTCGGCGAGTCACCTCCTTTCGAGTATGCTTGCACGTAATTTCTTTCTCGTTCGCACGAGAAAATAAAGAGAATAAAAGGAAATGTGAGAGAGAGAGAGAGAGAGAGAGAGAGACATGCGCGTACAGCTGTGATCTCGT